AATATGGAGCCACTGGAGTTTACTGAATAAAGGTATGACATGGTTGGATCAGCATTCTAGGAAAATCACTTTGGTGACTGAATAAAGGATTGACTGGAGTGAAGAGAGACTTAAGGCAGGCAGACCCACCATCAGGCTATTGCAATAGTCTAGGCATGAGGTGATAAAGGCCTGTATCAGAATGATGACAGTGTTAGAGGAGAAAGAGATTTTATGAAGGCAAAACCAACAAGTCTTGCCATCAGATTGGATATGGTGCTAGGGGTGGGGAGATAGTGAGGAATCCAGAATGACTCCTAGGTTGTTAGCATAGGGGACTGGTGCTGCCCTCAACAGTAATAGGAAATGTGTGGGGGGGAAGATTAAGGGGAGAAGAAAACGAGTTCAGTTTTGGACATGTTGTATTTAAGACGTCTACTAGACATCCAGTTTGAGATATTTAAAAGATAGTCAGAGGTTCAAGATTGGAGGTCAGCAGAGAGGTTGGGGCAGGATAGGGTGATTTGAGAATCATCAGCATAGAGATGGTAATTAAATCTATGGAAACCGATGAGATTACCAAATGAAGAGTATAGGGGGAGAAGAGAGACCAGGATAGAAACCTTTGGGACACTAACAAGTAGAGGATATGATCTGGATGAGAATCTAGCAAAGGAGACTGAGGAGTAGCCTGATAGGTAGAAGGGGAACCAAGAGATAGCAGTGTCCTGAAAACCTAGAGAGAAGAGAATATCAAGAAAAAGAGAGAGAACAATAGTGTCAAAGTCTGCAGAGAAGTCCAGAAGAATGAGGATTGAAAAAAAGCCACCAAATTTGGCAATTAAAAGATCATTGGTAATTGGACAAAGGAATGATAGGATTGGAAGCCAGACTGTAAGGGGTTAAGAAGAGAGTAAGAGGAGAGAACATGGAGGCATCTATTGTAGGCAGCATAGGACGAAAGTAGGGATGGAAGGATCAAGTTTTGATCCTTGAGTTTTTTTGAGGATGGGATTTTGAGAGTTTTTTGAGGATGGGAGAGATATGGGCATGTTTTTAGGCAAAAAAGAAGTAGCCAATAGGGAGAGATTGAAGATAAGTGATTGACAAAACAACCCTGAGGTACCACCTCACTCCTATCAGAAATGACAAATGCTGGAGGAGATGAGGGAAAAATAGGTACACTAATGAAATATTGGTGGAGTATTGAACTGGTCCAAACATTCTGGAGAATTAGACCCAAAGGGCTATAAAACAGCGCAAACCCTTTGACCCAGCAATAACACTACTAGGTCTGTATCCCAAAAAGATCAAAGGAAAAGGACAAAGACCTATGTGCACAAAAATATTTATAGCAGCTCTTCTTGTGGCAGCAAAGAATTGGAAATTCAGGGGATGATCATCAATTGGGGAATGGCTGAACAAGATGTGGCATAAGATTGTGACTGAATACTATTGTGTGGTAGGTAATAATGAAGGAGGAGGTTTCAGAAAAATACGACAAGACCTATATGAACTGATGCAAAGTGAGGTGAGAAGAACAGGGAAATCATTGTGCACAGTAACAGCAATGTTGTGATGATGATCAACTGTGAAAGACTTGGCTACTCTGATCGATACAATGATCTAAGACAATTCTAAATGATTCATGATTTTTAAAATGCTATCTACCTCCAGAGAGAGAACTGATGAAATGAAGTAAAACTGATGTATAATTTTCTCTATTTTTCTTGCTTAAAATATATATACATAGTTACAATGGAAATAGATTTTGCAATATTAAATAATTTTAATTCAAAAAAAGAAGATAAGTAATTGAGTGGGAACCACAGAGGGGGTTATCTGTTGAAGGAGAAGTGATGGAATAGGATCACTTATTCAAGTAGAGGAGTTGGCCTTAGTAAGGAGTGAGGTCACCTCTTCAGATCTAATGGGTGAAGGATATCGTGGCAGAAGTATCTGAATGATGGGAGATGAAGAAAAGGGGAGAAAGAACTCAGGGCAAATGGTCTCAATTTTTTTCTGTAAAATATGAGGCAAGGATCTCAATTGAGAGTGGAGGGGAAGGTAGAGCCATGGAATGTCTGAGGAGGGATGAAAAGCTTTGAAAGAGACATTTCGGACAGAGGGATAATGACTTGATAAGGGAGGTATAGAAAGATTGCCTAGCAACAGTGAGGGCCCAGTTGAGGTTGCATAACACAAATTTGTAGTAGACAACAGTTGTGTAATTATAAAGCTTAGTGATTTATAAAGTTTAAATTTCTTTTTTTTCTTTTTCTTTTTTTTTGGGCAATTGGGGTTCAATGACTTGCCCAGGGTCACACAGCTAGTAAGTGTCAAGTGTTTGGTCTGAGGCCGGATTTGAACTCAGGTCCTCCTGACTTCGGGGCTGGTGCCCTATCCACTGTGCCACCTAGCTGCCCCTAAATTTTAAATTTCTTTAAAATTGTAAGCAATTATTATCTCAATTATTTATATCCCCTCTCAGGCCTCCAATATCCATAATCTATAAAACGAGAAGGTTGGAACATCGGATCTTTCAGTTGAGTTATCTCCTACCTTTCAAATATTCCTAGAGTACTCTGAAACTTCCTTTGACCCATTACATTCTACTTTGCATTATACTTTCTATTCTATCTCAACCTCACTTCCAAGGGGACCATAAGTTCTTTGAGGGCAGAGGCCAATATTTTTAAGCTTGGCATCCTAGTAAATACTTCTAAACATATACTTCAATACTTGAAGTACTTCAATTTTTTTTTTATCTTTGCATTCCTTTCAGCTATTTTTCATATGTTAGGTCATGTTAGCTGATATCTGTATAGTGCTTTAAAGTCAGAAGAATACATTACATACATTATCACTTGAGACAAACCTTCATGCAATTATTTATTAAGCACCAACTATGTACAAGGCACAACTGTCCTGTGAGGAAGTATGGTAAGTACTATTAAGTATTATCACCCCATTTTACAGATGAGAAAAGTGAGAGTCTAAGATATTAAATGATATGCTCACTGTCTCACAGTTTGTGTCAGAGATAAGATTAGAACAGAGTTCTTACTGGCTCACAGTCTATACTATTTCATCCATTAAACAAGTATGTACTAAGCGTCTACTACGTGTCAGACACTGTGCTTGGTTCTGAGCTCTAGGCACTAAATTTCAGTATCCTTAGACTTCTTTGTGCCAGAGATTCTGCCAGGGACTCTTAGCACAGTAACTGGCACATAGCAGGGGCTTAGATATTAGTTGACAAAGATTCACTGCTTTCGATGAGTTTTCATTCTTTTGGGGAGAAATAATTCATACACGGATAAATACAAAATATATACAAATTAATGTGGGGGACAAGATTAGTAAAGTGGGGGAGGGGGCATACATAAGGATAGGGTCTTCCAAGAAAAGGCACCTGAGTTGAGCCTTAAAGGAAGCTAAGGAATATAAAAGATGGAAGTGAGGGGGGAAAGCATTCCAAGTTTAGGGGACAATCTGTGTAAAGTCATGTTGAGGGAAGAAAATCACTTTTGAATCTGTATGATGGGTGAACTGGAGAGGGGAAAGACTCGAGACTGGAAGGCCAATTAGGAATGAGCTTCTGGACTAGGGTAGTGGCCTTGTCAAGGAGAGTGATGGGAGAGGCGTCGGAGAGGCAGATTTCAGAACTGAGATTTGACCATGGAAGGAAAGAGAGCCCAACTCATCGAAGACTCCAGGGTTTCTTGCCTGAGTGACTGGGGAAATAGCGGTGCCCTCCACATGTAACAGAAGTCATGAAGTTGGGAGGTTTGGAGGGAAAAGTTACAAGAGATGTTTTGGACGTGGTGAGGCAGAGATACCCACAAGACATGTGTTGGATATGTTCCATAGCCCAAGAATTCAAACGCTTGTTGAATTTAGTAAACTCTCTCGTGGGATGTGGTGGAAAGAGCACTGCAGTCACTGCTGGGCTCCCACTTCTACTAATGCCATTTACTTCCTGTGCTATGCGATGGGCAACAACGCCGCACTGGGAGTCCGAGGGCCTGGACTGGGATCCAGGCTCCGTCCCTGATTGTCTGTGTGACCTTGGGCCAGTCACACTCTTTGGGCCTCAGCTTCCTCCTCTGTAAAACAAAACGACCTCTAAGGTCTTTGCAGCTCTAGACACCGCGGCCGTGGTGAGGCTTCCTTGGGCCGACTCCGGCTGCGGTCCGCAGTGGGCTGCAGGCCTCGGAGGCGCCCCAGGCCAGAGCGCTAGAATGATCCGGCCTGTCGGCCCAAACGCCCACCATGCTCACAAGGGGCGGAGAACGTCAGTCGCAATCGAAGGCGGTGCCTGAGTGTAACCGCCGCTTCAGCACACTACGGGTTCACTTTCCGCCTGCTCCCGCCCCCTAAGACTGAATTGACCAATCCCCTTCGGGCACAACTCTGTCTCTCCTCCCCCCTCTGTCAATCATTACGGGACCTCGCAGAGCCCGAATCGCAATGTTCCGCTAGCGCCTCGCGCCCCCACTCGGCAGTTAGCGGCTCTGCTTCCTCTCCCCCGCCCCCTCCGTACTCCGAAGGGAAAAGGAGCGCAAGCGGAAGGAAAAAAGAGGCGGGGCCGAGCTGGAGCCTCGAAGGCCCTCCCCCCAAAGCCAATTGGCCCCAAGCATCCCGGCGCTCACTCTGCGCTCTGCCACAAGTTCACTGCTTAAGCGGAGGCGCCGGGGATTGGCTGGCAACAAGAAGAGAGAGCGGTCACACTGGGGCGCCAAAGGAGGGATGATGACTGTCTTAACACCCCGCGACATACACACATCCCAATCCGCGCAGAATCGGGCGCGCGCGTGCCGGCGAGGGAGCGCAGCCGATTGGTTGGGAAGGAATTTAACGCGCTTCGACGGGCGACCGTGCATTGGCCCCTACAAGCTCGCGCCGAGGAAAGCGTTGGAGCCGATTGGCCGGGGGGCGGAGCCCGCTATTTGAAGGGGGCGCGGGGCGGGTGGAGTGGGGGAGGGGCGGGGAATGCCTCCTCAGTCTGGTGTGGAAGCCGCGCGGAGGGGACGTGAGAGGGAGAGTGGTGGCGGCAGTGGCGGCGGCGGTGGCGGCGGCAGCTGCTGCTTCGAGGGTGTCCTTTCTTGCCCCCGCGAGGCCATGGCCAAAGTTTCGGTTCTGAACGTGTCGGTGTTGGAGAACCCGAGCCCTTTCCACAGCCCCTTCCAGTTCGAGATCAGTTTCGAGTGCAGCGAGGCCTTGGCCGACGGTGAGCCCCGGCCTTCCCCTCTCTTCCCCTCCCCCACGCCTCCCTGCCCGACAGGATCTCCCAGTCTCCCCCCGCGCGTTCCTGATCGAGGGGACTCCTTTATGCTGACTCCCACCAATAGGGCTCCCTCCCCGCCCCGGGATCCTAAAGCTTCCCTATAGCACCAACCCTCATCTTAATAAAGTGCTCTGTTCTCTTAGTCTAGTAGAATACAAACGTTCTGAGGGCAGGGGGACTGTTTCACTTTGATATTTGGGTCCCCGCTACTCGGCCTGGGTGGTCGGCGCTTATTTCAACATTTGTTGGCCAATCCTTAGCCTTTGTAACCCTAGGCAAGGCATTTTAACCCTTCTGAGCCTTAGATTTCTCCTCTGTACTTTTGAGATGATAGCGCCTAATGCCGAGCTCTTTGCAGGCTTTAAAATGAGCAATAGAAAAGTGAACCCTCGGGGCCACTGAGGTCCCATCCACCTCTGAGGTTCTGGAGCTAGTATTACTACAAAGGATTTTGTATCAGCAACCTGTGAAGTAAGCTGGATATCTACTCTTCTGCCTGTTACTACTTCATATAGGCTTCCCATCTTCTAACCTCCAATAGATTATCCCTGTTACTCTGCCTCATTTATTTCTGTTACCTTTTTGCATCTATTAGAAGAATGAGTATACTGAAACCCTAGATGACTTCCTCCTGGATGATGTCTCCAATCTACCCTCAACTGTGCCTGACCTTTCCTACCAGATAGTGGTTCCTAAATGCCTCAGTGCTTGGAGCAATTCTTTAATCTTTCCTGCCCTCTACTTTTCTAGAGCTGCCTGAATTAGTGTGGACCCCTGCCCTGGTATCCAGGGGCTAGCTGTTAGCTGCCTTGTTCCTAAAGGGCCATTCCTACTGCCTCTGCTACTGAAGTAGCAGAGGGTTCCATGAGTTGGGGGTCTGTTATTTGACAATAGCAACAATAATATTTAAACATTTCATTTATATAGTGCTTTAAAAGTTTGCAAAGAACATTACATACATATCTCCAGAAACGTGCCTTTATAAGAGGGGGCTATGTGGTTTGAGGAAGATAGGTGTCATTTAAAAAAAGTACTTAGTAGCTTGTATCCTCTCTTGAAAGTACTTTTAAAGGTGGTGTCACTCAACTAAACAACATGAAAGGCAACACCATTTTCATTTCCCAGATGAGAAGGCTGAGACACAAAGAGTAAAGTTCCCTCCTTTGAGAAAAGGTGCTCCACACATTGAACTAACAAAATGGCCAGGGTTACTCAATGAATCTTAATGAATTAGGGATAGACTGAAGCAGCACTCTTGACTTCCATTTGGTACTCTTACTAGACTATCTTTTCGCCTGTAGGGATAGTAGAAGAGACAATAAGGCAGGATGTAGAAAGATAGAATATTTAAAATCCAGGTGTTTCAGCCACTAGCATCTTCATCTTTGCCATTTGGATTAACTTACTTGCAGGGCCACAAGTTATTCATATAGGCCTTAGCCTTTATTATATTCAACATCTTCAAATATGCTGTTTGGAATCAATAGTTTGGTTTTTTTTTCTTAATTTTTTGGCTAGGCAGTGGGGTTAAGTGACTTGCCTGGGGTCATTCATCTAGTAAATATTATGTGTCTGAGGCTGGATTTGAACTCAGGTCCTTCTGACTCCAGGGCTGGTGCTCTATCCACAATGCCACCTAGTTGTCCCTGGAATCAATAGCTTGAAGAGACTCAATTCTTAGTTAACTTGTTCAAAGTCACATGGTTAAATGGAAGAGTAATTACTAGAATTTGGGTCTCCCAGCTCCTGACTCAGTGTTCTTCATTCTTGTTATATTCCTGAAGAAGGAACAATATTACTATTTTTATCTTTTAAAGGTACGACATAAAACTTAAGCGAAAGTAAACCTAATTTCCAGGTTAAGAATTAGAACTCAGTAATTGCATACCTGAATCTGTTAGTGACTTGATCACCTAGGAAATTTGCATTTTCCTTTTGAAAAACACCTTTTTGTTGCCTTTTGCACAGAGTTCTTGAGGCTAGAAAGGGTGGCCTATTCCTTAAAGGTGGTAAAGAAATCACAGCTTGCCAGTTCTAAAATCCAAGAAGCCATATAACAAATTCCCTCTGTTAGCTGATCTTTCTCTTTTTCCCTGACACAAACCATTTTTCACCCCTCAACCCTGTCAACATTCCATAAAACAACTAAAAATAACTAAAGTAGCTCATCTTAGAAATTGAGCAGTTCATTTTATCCTTTGGTCCAAGATTCTACTGAAAAGGCGATAATTATAGGTCAGCAAGTTGTAGAACCCAGATGTTCTGAAATAGATCTACTATACTCTGATACTCCTAAAGTTTAACTCTGTTTTACTGGATCTAACTGGATTCAAAATTTGAGACTGCTACCTCTAGACACAAGTTCTTAATCTGGGTCCATGAACTTGGGTTTTTGTGTTTAATTTTGATGACTATTTCAATAAAACCAGTTTCCTTTGTAATGCTATGCATTTTATATCTTTTCAAACATTATTCTGAGATATCTGTGACCAAAAAAAAATTAAGAACCTCTGCTCGAGACTCCAGTTAAATTGAAAAGGTAGAAAAGCAAACAGTTGCTGTAGAAATGAAAGACTTGGTGTTCTAGAAGAACCTTAGCAAGAAATTATCCAGGCTGCATTTACCTCAGATCAGAAGCTCCTTTCTTAAAAGGATACTCTATCAAAGATGTTGTCCCAGAGCAATCACATTCTGTGAAACCATAGCTTGTGAAAATTTCCCCAGGCATCTTCAGCCTAGGGTTGTAACTTTAAGGTATCTAAAGTGTTTTCAGGTTGAGTTGCCAAATCCCTTTGCATTGCTATAACTTTGCCCTGGTTATATTTGGAACTCAAGATAGTTGCTTTGGTTGGCACTGTCATTCACAGGAAATAACTGACCTATCGAACAGTTGTGGTTCATTTCTCTTGAATGTACTTGTTTCATTGGTGAAAGCAGGCACTATTCCTGTATATTAGAGAACTGGGGTTTAAGTATAAAGCATGTGAGCCCTGCTTCTTGAGCATGTTAGCCTCAAGTTCTGCTTGATTCTCATAAGTGGGTATGATTATTCTTACTACCTAGATTTGAATGATTTGGAGACTTGGCTAAATCTTGGAGCAGCCTTATCTCCCTCCCTTTTCTGATACAATCTTATTCTAGGCCTGAGCAGGTGATCCTGCCCCAGTTGTCAAAGGATTTACTCTGTGGCACTGATCCCTCTGTTCAAAAGAAGATGTTACCTTACCTTAATGACTGCTCTGTGATGTAGCTCCTGTGTTCTAAATGACCCCAGGCTCCAGTTATTTGCATACCTCAGCTGGGCCTTAATTCAGCCTAGGTCATCCCATTCATCCTCACAAGCTCCTGATAGGCAGATACTTTACAGAGGAGAACCTAAAACAGATTTTCATTTTCATTTTTTTTAATTAATTTATTTTGATATATCAACAGTCACTTCCATAAGCTTTTGAGTTTTAAATTTTTCTCCCCCTCCCTTCTCAGCTACCTCCCCAAGACAGGCATGCAATCTGATATAGGCTATATATATACATTCCTTTTAAACATATTTTCACATTAGTTATGTTGTAAGGAAGAATTAGAACCAATAGGAGAAACCACAAGAAAGAGGAAACAAAACAAAACAGAAGGAAAAAATAGCAAATAATATGCCTTGATCTGCATTCAAACTCCATAGTTCTTTCTTTGGATGTGGATAGCATTTTCCATCATCAGACCTTTGGAGATGTCTTAGGTCCTTGCATTGCTGAGAAGAGCTAAGTCTATCAACGTTCGTCATCTCACAACGTGGCTGTTACTCTGTACAATCCTGGTTCTTCTCACTTCACTCAGCTCATACAAGTTCTTTCATCATACAAATTCATACAAGTCTTTCCAGGTTTTTCTGAAGTCTGCCTGCTCATCATTTCTTATAGCACAATAGTATTCCATCACATTCATATACCATTCCCCAATTGATGGGCATCCCCTCAATTTCCAATTCTTGGCCACCACATAAAGATCTGCTGTAAATATTTTTGTACATGTGGGTCCTTTTCCCATTTGTATGATCTCTTTGGGATATAGCCCTAGAAGTGGTATTGCTGGGTCAAAGGGTATGCACATTTTTATAGCCCTTTGGGCATAGTTCCAAATTGCTCTCCAAAATGGTTGGATCATTTCACAACTCTACCAACAATGCATTAGTGTTAAAACAGATTTTCTCAAGATTACTCAGAAAACTGGGATTTAACATTGGATCATAGACTTGGAGCTGAAAGGGACCCCAGAAGCCAACTAGTCCACCTCTGCTGCCACCCCCCCCACCCCCTTTCATTTTACATATAATGAAAAGAAAGCCTAGAAAGGTTGTAACTTGCCTGAGGCCACACTACAAGTAAAAAACCAGGTTTCAATCCCAGATCTTCTGATCCCAAATCCAGTCACTTTCCACTGTATTGTGGGAGATATTTAATCTGTTAAATTCCAGGGCCACTTGCTAATATTTAGACTATGTATTTTTATACTTGGGATGGAAAGTGGTTTTGTTAATGGAAGGCAAGCTTCAAAAATTGTTTGGAATAATATGTTAAATTTTGTCATTTCTGTCTCAACATCTCTCACATCCATTTCCTGTCTCCACTTGAATAGCCATCACCCTCTTTCAAATCCTCCTCACTTCTTGCCTGGATCATTGAAATAACCTCCTAGGGCTAACTAGGTGTTCAAACAGATGCAGTGCCTGCCCTGGAGTCAGGAGTTCAAAACAGGTCTCACTTACTAGCATTGTAACCCTAGGCAAGTCACTTAACCCCAATTACCTAAAATAAAAAAATTGAAATGGCCTCCTAATTGTTATCTTTGCTTCTAGTCTCTATTATGGTCCATCCTAGATACAGTTACCACATCCTAGACACAGTTACCAAAGTGATTTTCTTTAAAGATCAGTCTGACTATTTAACCCTCTACTGAGTAAACTGCAGGAGCTCACTACTCTTTCTAGGATCACATGTGAACTTCTCTGTTAGACATTTAAAGCTCTTCCAACCTTGCTCCTTCCTATCTTTCCAGTCTTCATATACATACTATCTTAAAGACAGCAAGGCAGCACAGTAGGTAAAGTGTTGGATCTGGAGTTAGGAAGACCTGACTTTGAGTCCTACCTCAGATGCTTACTAGCTATGACCTTGGACAGGTCTTTTAATGTCTCTCAGCCTGTTTCCTTAGTAAAATGGGATAATAGTATCTACCTCACGGAATCATTGTGAGAATCAAATGAGATGATGTGTGTAAAGTGTTGTGCAAACCTTAAAGCAATGTATAAATGCTAGATCTTATTTTTAACACACACATGTGCCCAAATTCTACCATCCAGCCTCCTGGCCTAACTTCAGCCCCTCATACATCTGCATGCCTTTGTCCAGGTTGTGTCTCTTCTCTCCCCCCCCCCATGCCTAGATTGTTGTCTCTTTCACCTTTGCCTCTGGGAAATCCAAGTGCCATCTTTTACATAAGGTTTTTCCCGGTATTCCCTCAGCACCTAGTGCCTTCCCTTTCAAGGTTATTCTGTATGTGTTTTTTGTAAAAGTCTTCACTGTTAGAATAAGTTTTGAAAGTCAAGGACTCTCACTTTTGTCTTTGTATCTCAATGCCTGGCATATGGTGGGCACTGGATAAATGTTTGATTGATTGATGTCAGAAGACATCTTCCTGCCTTTCCACTTTCATAAGCCGTTTTGACAATTCCTCTATTCCTTTTCAGACCTAGAATGGAAAATCATTTATGTGGGTTCAGCAGAGAGTGAGGAGTTTGACCAGATACTAGACTCAGTACTGGTTGGGCCAGTCCCAGCAGGGCGACACATGTTTGTCTTTCAGGTAAGAGGTTAGCAATTAGTAGCACTAAACTCTGAGGAAACTTCCCCTTTTTACCCCCAAAGCATGCTGAAGCATAGAATCTGTTTTGCTCCCTCAGGCAGATGCCCCTAATGCCTCCCTAATCCCAGAAACTGATGCAGTAGGTGTAACTGTGGTCCTTATAACCTGCACCTACCATGGGCAGGAGTTCATCCGAGTTGGCTACTATGTCAACAATGAATATACCAACCCTGACCTTCGGGAGAACCCACCCCTGAAACCAGACTTCTCTCAGGTAAGTTGGTTTTCTAATTCAGAGGGCCCTGCTTCCTTCTGTCCCAGCAGTTCAGGACAGCAGAATCATAGAATCATCTACTGTCCATCATGAAAGGTACTTTAAAGATCATATTATCCAAGTTTCTCAATTAAGTATGTTAGAGGTATGAGTTTCTTGCCATAGCACATCAGTTGATGTCCTAGCCACATGCCTAACCTTCTGACCAGAGCAAAGGAAGGAACATCCCAGTAGGGTCTTGGCTTGTGCAGAATTAACAGGAACAAGCATTGCCCTTTCTAGACTCTCAACATTCAACAGATGATGTGCTCGGGTTGGGCTGACATGAGGTAAAATTTGGAGGAAGAAGGAAAAGTATCAGCCTGATCCTATCACTGTGCTATTTTCAAGTTCATTGTCCCTGGGTTTGTCTTTTGAGGGAAGGGGAGGTGAGGCATGGAGAAAGTAGCAACAAAGGTAGGTCTCTGCTATACAATCTTTGATGAGACTCACTTTTTCTGTCCTAGCTCCAGCGAAACATCTTGGCTTCTAATCCCCGAGTAACTCGATTCCATATCAACTGGGACAGTACCGCAGACAAATTGGAGGACATTGAAAACCAGGACCCTGTCTTAAACATGGGGCTACCTCTGAGTTGTCCCTCAACTAAAGGATTAGATCTTCCAGACTGTGCCCCTAGCATCATTCCTGAAAACTCCATGGACTGCATCTAACTAAAACTGAGGCCTAGGCAGTATGATGGACCCTGATTTCTGCCAAATGAATGGTTTTGTTCTGCCTTCTGGAAAATTTCTGGAGCAAGCCTGAAGGACTTGGGTTGGGGCTCTAAGTTATAGCTATAAGCCAGTTAAACTGGTCCTTATGGGAAGGAAAACCTGTCATTGGTATGTCCGTTAGTTCAACACAGAGAGACTATTTACCTGTTTTCTTACAGGTCTGCAGAGCAAATGGTACTTTAGCTCTTTTACTCATTGTGAATTTTGCCTTCTCTCCTTCTGGCCTTTTTGCCTTTTGAGATACTATGGCTCTGGAGAGATAATTTCATCTGTGGATGGGTTTTTCGTGTTTTGGGCAGCTTATGGGCTTCCTGACCTATAACTGGAGATTCTCTCTCCCCCCATGTTGTTTCTTCTTAGTTTCTTTACTTTCCCACCCATCTTCAATCAGTGATTTGCCCTGACTTTTTGGAGTTACTCATTAATAATCTTGGTAGGATTTGGGCTCCAGCAGTTTTGATGGATGGCTTTTGGTATGTTGATTGCCACTCTTTCCCCAGCTGGATTTTTTATTCCTGCTTCCATCTTGCCAACTCCTGGAAAGGCCCATTCCCTTAGGTGCCAGGAATGGGGTTTTGAGGGACTATTTAAAGATAAGGCCATCCTCTTTCTTTCATCGGTGGCAACTCAACTCAAACATGACTCATTCCTCTCATCTCTTGGCCAGATCAGAGGATTTGATCAAGAACTAACCAACTGATTTTCTCTGGACAGGAGTAACTGAAACATACTCACTGTTAACCACGCCCCTTAACTAGGAGTTAATGCCAAAAGGCTGCACTTAACCTTTTCTGGGGCCATATGACCTCTCAGGCTTTGGGAGGATAGGATGGTTCTTTTGTTTTGAAGACAAAGGAAAAGAGGGCCTATGTGCACATAGAAGCATCCCCTAGCCCTCAGTTCTTTTCCTCTGACCTGTCCTTTGTCCCTGTGGCTATTGTTGCTTATGCAATTTGTGTATTAAAGGTTTTATATTAAAAGTTATGGTTACTGGAGAAATAAAAAGCACTTAGGCTGGACTATAGTGAATTTTTTTTTCTCACTTTGGCCTGAAAACATCAACCAATCCTTTTGAAAAACTGGTGCTGAACTTTTGGAGATGAGAGAGAATGTTGCAGAAAGAAATAAAGGATTTATTTCCCACCCCTCCTTAAGTTAAAGCCTCTTTCCTCTCTAACTTCAGTTGGTTTTCTACACTAAAACTGGTTTTGGGTTGTCTGTGTGTGGGTTGTTTTTTTTTTCAGCTGAGAAATAACAGCTCCTTTATTCAAGAACTATTTAAAATCTGCTTCCAGGCAGAGTGCTTTTAAGACGGGGGTGCAGTCTGTCAATTAACATTGACACAGTTTTGGAGCTTTGAATAGAGGATGCTAGAGTAATATAGTAGGTTCACAGGTGGTGCTGCTAACTGATCTTAGAAACATGCTAGTACTTGTGATTTCTTCTGTGAAGGACTAGAAGGCAGAAGTAAGTAGCAATGGGTGCAGGACTTTTTACAAGCTGAAATGAGCAGCTCATGCAAATTTTTAAAACCTACTAATAAAGATGAGATGCCCTTTTGCTCTTGTTACAGCACATAGCCATTTGCAAAATGTTTTACTTCAGTCGGCCAATCCTCTGATAGGAAATACCAGAGCCAGGCCTGCTCTAATAGAGGTCTCCTGACTCCCAGATTCCTTGCTTTTTTCATGACTATTGCCTTTCCTATGATACAATTCTGTCTTGCAATTGTTAATTCATTGTCCCTTCCACTTTATCGATTTCTAGACTGTTTGGGGGATGATGGCCCTTGAAGGATGTATTAACATTGTATAGGTGTGGCAGCTATCTCACCTCAAAGTCCTAGTCCCAGACAAACTACCTCCAAACGTTAAAGAATGGGTGCTTAGGTCAGGGACCTATCCCTCTGGGAAAGATCCAGATGAGCTCTGACTGTTGTGGGGGCCCCTAATGTTTAGTTGGGCGCTGACTTCCCAGGACATATACATTATGGCTCTTATCTGAAGGGAAAGGGAATGTTCAAACCGGCTGGTTTTCGGGATCCTTAGTTTCTCTGCCCAGGCCAGGCCTCTATCCATTCTTTGCGGCCTGCAAGATTTCGCTTCGCCCCACCCCCTTCTCCTGGGATTGACACCGAACATTCCCAGGAGAGCCCGTCCCAACCTTCTATAAATAAAACGCCAGCGACCCCGCCACTACCAATCCAAAGGTTCGGAGGGTGGAGCCTGTGATGCGATCAAGGTTGTGTCCAATGATGGGATACGGCCCGCCCAGCTGAGGATTTCTGAACCAATAGGCAGCTGGCGGGCCGCGTCTGGCGTCATTGTGTCAGGGGCAAATGAGAGGGCGGGAAGATTGTCTTCGACCAATGAATGGCGGGCGCGGGGCCGTCAGTCAGGGTGTCGAGGGCCAATGGGTAGTGGGGTGCGGGGACTGTGGGGCGTCACGGGCTGCCACGGACTCGGATTCTGGTTCCCCTGCCGAGCTCGAGGGAGACGCGGGAGCCGGGAACTGGGAGCCGGCTGGGGGGTGGGGGGGAGCGGGGCCACGGGAGCCAGCTGAGCCTGCGACCGCTGCCGCTGCCGCTGCCGCCGCCGCTCGGGGCGGGGGGTGGGGGGGGGGACCCGGTCGCCAGCGCCCGTGTCAGCGCCGCAGCCCGGGGCGGGGGGTGGGGGGGACCCGGCCGAAGCCGAAGCCAGCGCCGCGGAGATGGGGAACGCGGCCACCGCCAAGAAGGGCAACGAGCTGGAGAGCGGTGAGTGTTCAGGCCCCGACCCAATGCTATCCCACCCCAGCAGCCCCCGGCCCCCGCTCAGCCGCGGGCACAAAGACGAAACGAAACGGCCCCTGCCCTCTGGCAGCGTCCGTTCTACCGCCACCCCCACTCCCCCACCCCCCACTCCGAGGCCGCTGAGCCTCTCGGCGCGACTCTTCGCACTCCCTCCCCGGCCCTGAATGAGCTCCTGCGCTTCCCATCCGACTCTGAACTTTTCTAGGTCTGTTTTCTCGTCTGTAAAAAGATGGGGTCGGACTACTTTTATCAGGTTTTTTCCAGCAGCTCTGAAACGTATGACCTCCACCGCTCCCCCCCCTTCCGGTCATCCTCCGCGGTCCCTGCCCGCCTCCCTCCTTCCCCCCTCCCTCCGCTTTGTAAATTACGACCCCTTTTGTTGTTGTTATTATTGTTGTTTTCATTCCCCGTCACTACTGAAAACACCGTGTGTGGTCCCTGCCTATTCCCCCCTCCTTCTGGCCTCACCCCCCACCCCACCCCTCCTCCCACCGCTGCCAAAGCCACGGCCAGCTGTCAACCCCAAAGCTGGGGCCTTGCCTCCTGGCCCACCCTTCCTCTTGCAAGGCCCCCAGAAGTTTGGCCTGATCTCCACCCTGCCCCTTCTCCTAGTTTCTGGCCCAGCCACCCGATGACCAGGAGTTCCGAGAGCCCCACCACACCCTTTTTTTAAAAAGCATCTTCGAAGGTTCCTGTCTGTTAACCCTACTTAGAAGAGTCGCTTTGTTTTAAATGTTTTATTGATACCTTTTGATTTTTCATCACAATCATTTTTGCACTTAGGTCCTCATTGAATCCTTTTTTGTAACAAAGAAAAACAGTTGGGCAAAAACAACAGATACAGTGATTTCTTTGGCTACGCATGCAACATTCTGACCCTTTAGTTCCCTGTCTCTCTGACAAGAGGAGGGAAGTGTATTTGATTATCTGTTCTACAAAACAGATTGGTTATTACACTTAAAAAAGAGTTAGCTTCCTCTTAGTGTTCTTTTGATTTACATTCATGTAGTTGTGTGTGTTGTTCCTCTGGTTAAGTTTATTTCATTATGCATCAATTAATATGTATCCTGCTACATTTCTCTTCATTCATTTAGATTATGCATGCATATGTATGTGTACATATATGTCATAACTGCATAATATCCCATTACATTAATATTTCACAGTTGGTTGAACCTTTCCCCAATCAATGGTAACTGACTTTGATTCCTGATCTTTGCAAACACAAACAATGCCCCTGTGAAGAGTCTGATATATTTGGACCTTTCTTTCTGTCCTTGACCTCTTTGGGTTCCTTAGAGTGAGGTGGATTGGTCGAAGACTTTGTACATTTTGGTCACTCTTATTAAATCATTTCACATTTTTTTCTGGGATGGTTGGACCAATTGGTCCAAATGATAGCTCTACCCACACTGTATTAGTGTATCTGACATTCCACAGACCTTCCAGCAATGACTTTCCATTTTTTGTCAACTTTGCCAACTTGCGGAGTGTGAGATAAAACCTAACTGTTTTAATTTCATTTCTTTTATTAGTGATTTGGGGTATATTTTTATCTGGTCACTTAATAGTTTGCAATTCTTCTTTTGAAAACTGTCTATATCCTTTGACCCTTATCTGCTATGGAATTCCAAGTAGTTTTGAAGTTTTCAATATAATTGCCCTCCATATCACCCTTATATTTTCATATGGTACCCCCTTATCTTTTCTCACCCTTTCCTTCCTCTAAATGTCTATATCCAGGTCTGTGTTTCCCCAGAATACTTACAGCTGTGATCACACACACACACACTCACACACTCTCACACTCTCTCTCTCTCTCTTTCCCTTTTTCTCTTTCTCTCTTTTTCTCTAGTTATTAAAGCATTTGATCAGGGTAAGAGCTTAGGGTTCCCTGTCTCCAAGTTAGTCAAACCTTCTCTGTGGCTCCTTATCTGTTTTTCTGTCATTCCCATGTTTTCTATCTTTCTTATTACCCTGTGTACACCCTAGGTGAGCAGACCTTGCTTGTGGGCCCTGGGTCTTTCCCATCTCCTCCAAGGCAAGACTTTTTCCTTTCAGGGATTAACCATTGTTCCCCACCCCACCCCACCCCAGGTGACTGAAGATTAGGAAGAGGGAAGTTAAGGTCTTTCCCCACCATGCTTCATCTCTTGGATGTTCCCTCTCTACCCTACCCCTCAGAATCTGAGCACCTCCAGATCCCTCAATAAACAGATATTTCATAACTGAGGCTCTGTCTTGCAGTGGCCAGTAATTGTCTCCCTCCGTCTGCCAGATGCCCCTGGATTCTCTGCCTGTTCCCACTTTGGGCAGTTTCCCATTAGAGACCGGTTTCTCATGATAGGTGTTTGGTCCATAGCTCTGGAAAGGTGGGAGAATTGGTGATCTTCCAGTTTTAGCAAGCAAGAGCTACTCTAGCTCAGATTGAAATGAGATAGCATGGTCTGGGGTTCTTCAGTGGAAAATAAATGGTGAAGAGAAAAGGTGACTTTATGATTTTATGAGTGACTTTATGATTTTCTGGTTATGAGCAGACTCAGCTGTCAGGGTACAGTATTTTACCTCTGCCCCCACTAAATCAAGATGACAGGGCAAAGAACTAGAATCATCTATTTTACTAAAACTGGATAGAAACCTCCTCCAACCCTAATCCCTTGCATCCCAGTCCCACACTTGAACCCTCAGAGCAGGGGACTGGTTTTAAGTATCCAACTCAGTAGTCTGAACTATGCTAAATATTCTCAGTGCCCCACCCCTTCCCTACCGGGCACAGACATGAAAACCAGGGAACCTTGTTCTCTGTTACTCCTTGGGATGTCCCATAACACAAAACTCGGGGAAGAAAGAAGTGGGAGCAACTTGGCCAAAGACAGCCCTGCCTACCATGTACAGGGCAAAGGATGTCAAAGTGTGCCCAGAGCCAAGGGCTTGTTAGGAATGGAGCAGGTCGAGCTAGCCCTAGAATTAGAAGAACAACAGGGGAGTCCTGTGAGGCCTCGGCCACCTCTGAAAGTATGGAAGGCTGAGGATGGACCAGAAGCTTGTATTGCTTGCCTAGTTGGAAGAAATTACCTTTAAATAGAGTGCCCCTGGAACAGAAGATTATGAGAGGCACTTTGGGAGAGGGATGGAGGTAGATAGAAGATTGCCTGTTGGTGGTCTTGAAGAGCCAGAGGGAGCCCTTCCAGTGGCCCTGGGAAAGTTCTTTCCTTGATTTCCCCTCTCATATCTGACTAGGTAGAATCCTATTGCATCTTTTGGTCCAAACTGTGCCATGGGGCAGACCTATAAATTCAACTGGATCAACACTGACATCTATTGCACTCCTTTCAGGAGACAACCAAGGATCCTTGTAAAAGGACCAAGGCCATCCTGACGGTAGGGTGATGGAGTAGAAAGAGCAGTGAATTTAGACTCCGAGGACCTTGTTTTGAATCCTCACTGTGCTGCTACTTAGCCCTGTGACCTTGGGCAAGTCCAATCCCTTCTCTAGGTCTCAGTATCCTTCTCAATAAATTGGGCACTTGGACTAGGTGAGCACTGAGTTTCCTGCCAGATCTAAATCCTTTGATCCTAAATCACTTCCCTTCTGTATAGCTCAGTTTTTATAATCCAATTAAACAAGCATTTATTAAGCACCTACTATGCATTAGGCTAGAGGAGTATGGTATAGCTGCATCAGGATAACTTGGGTTCAATCTGTGAAGTGAATAGATTGTACCAGATGACCTCTGAGTCCTATGACCTCATGACAGTCTTCCCAAGTAGGACAAGCCCCCTGAATGCTGACACCCCAGAGAAAGAGAAAGCATGCTTTGAAGATCCTGACCTCTGACATATTGGTTGTGTGACCTTGGATAAATCACTAAAATTCTCAGTGTCCCAGGAAACAAGACTATCAGTTTCAGTGCTAATTTTCATTAACAGAAAGAATCCCTCAGTCAGAAGTTCCATTTGTCAAATCACATTTTTTTTAATGTCCCAGGCACATTTAAAAATGCAAATTAAAAATGAAAGTCCCTGTCCTCATGGAGCATATATTCTGTTCTAAAATTGACTTCTAAAATAATAATAGCTTATATTTATACAGCACACAATCATTTAACAAATATTATCTCATTTGAACCTCACAATAACCTTGGGAGGTAGGAGCTATTGATAGCCCCATTTTATGGTTGAGGAAACAGGCTGAAAAAAATTAAAACATGCCTAAGGTCACACATCTAGTAAGAGTTTGAAGCAAGATTTGAACTCCTGTCTTTCTGACTCCAACATTCTCTACTGCTCTACCTAAATGGCCTTTATTTCTATCCCCAGTGCTTGGCACAGTGCCTGGTATATTGTAAATTCTTAATAAATGCTTGTTGCCTAGATAAAGGGATTGGACTTTGGAGGTGTCAAAAATGAGCACTGACTGAACCAAACTAAAATGTAATTGGGAAATATAACGATAAAACTCAGGAGAGTAGGCTCCCAGTTTAGAGAGACAGAGTTGTTGAGAACCAGAAGGTGGGGAGCAGCCAATGTTTTCAGATGGTGGGGGGTTTCTCTTTGGGATGGGACTAGAAGGAATTTGTTGGTGCTTACGAATTTAAGACAAGAGTGGGAATGTCCTGGGGAAGACAAGGGCAAAGTACCGAGGAAGATTCGGAGAAAGAAAATTGACTCCTGAACTTCTTGGGGCTTGGGGCTTGGGGCTGGAGGGGCTCAAAGGCATTATGATCTGCATAACTACCTTTGACGGGACCTGTTAACAGATGTTCCCCTTCGCCTGGAAAAGTCACAAAGCAGAGGAACAACCCTTTGGGTGTTTGCCCTTAGTGTGGGAAGGGAAAACAGAGCAGAAGGGCCTGAGAGGAACCCCCGGGGAATCGACTGTAGTAGAGAGCATGGGGCTTGAGGCAGCAGTGCTGGCTTCCAGATCAGGCTTGGCTGCTGCTTTGACTCGGAACCCATAAGCT